CAATTGATTCTTATTGTACTTAGGTATGTCCTGCAACTATTACATGTGAGTTTTTATCTATGATTTTTACAGTAGATTTGAACGAGACCCTAATGACTTCATTTCCCGCGAGTTGTAGGGGTTTGGTTGCCGCTAAATCTTCGTATTACAGTTGGGTTTGTTTGCTTTCACCATTCCTCAGTTCTTCTCTTTAGGTTTTGTGTATAGGGAAAAAAAATTCTTTCTTCTTAATATATATTTCATTCGGGATTTTTAATTAGTGAATTATCTCTCAGAAACCACCACGAACTCAGGCTCGAGTTCTCTTGTAGAACCAGCTCGAAGTCTCTGGTAAAACCCATCATTGCTGCTTTCTATCACAATTTTTAACTCGATTGGTTCAGATGTAAATAAGGCTTACTGCAACTGTCTGATTGATATTTATGTGAACCTGTATTTCGTGGAGAGAGCTTTAGGTACTAGACTTGGGATCGCACTTTATAAAACTACAGTGAAAGGTGTCTCGCATATTTATAAACACATGTATACATTGTTAAACCAGTTTTAGTCAGCTAAAATTTGTTCTAATTATATCGGATTACAAATCAATATTGTGGCATGAAAAAATCGAACTAAGTGCTTATCCGACAATTGATCGCATAAGGAAGCGTCAAATTTCATCGTATGAACTAGGACATTTTGTCCTCTTTCTGTATTTATTATCATTTTATTCTGGAAATGTTTATCTGATTCCAAATTCTGATTTTCTAATCTGTTTTGTACCACTGAGTTCCTTTACCTCTTTGAAAATAATAATGTGTGGAGATACTGGATGTTTAGAAAATAATAATGGCCATTTGGAAAATATTTTAAAATACGTTGAGATACGGAAAACTAGGTTTTTTTTTTCCACCAAAGTAGTTTTAGACTAAACATATTTACTTTTTTTGATTAAGGTGCTACGACGTCTCCGGCCTAGACAAAATCTCTAAAACAAATGGATGCTTTTGTGCCTGGAAGAAATATTGTTGATCACATTCTTATTGCTCGCGAGCTTTTATAGGATTTCAGCAGAAAAAAGGTGCACCGAAGCTATGACAATCAAGATTGAAGCTAGGTTTAACAAATATTGCTTTCATGAGTATTGGATTACGTTGATTACGATGTTTGTCTCGTCCGTCTTCTTAATGAGTCTATTTATGGTTATTTCTCCCTTCTGGAGGTCCAGATTGTTCCAATCTTTAAAACAAGCTATTATGGATTTGGAGGAGTTTTAGGGCTGAAACGTGGCTGGACAGATGCAGTGCACAGATTCTCCTAGCCTAATTGGGATTTTGTTTCTAGTTTATTTTATTATTATTTGGTTTCCTAGTCAGGTCATAAGACTTTTATTAGGGAGAATTGGAATACTTAAGTAGTTTAAGTAAGGTGTTTTCGAGGAGAAGAGGATTCTTCCTTTATGCGCTTTTGAAGAAGAGGATTCTTGAAGAATTTCAGGCTTTTACTTGGTGTTTTCGATATTTTTCTTAATAATAATATTTTCTTTAGTTTTTATTATGAGTATGCGTAAATAATTCCTTTGCTAGGATGAGGCTGTAAGTCTTAGCATGAATTTATTAATTTGCTTATGAATTGATGCATGCTTACTTTAAATTATTAATCACCGTATTTAGACTATCTAAATGACTTAGTGATTGGTCACCATTAGGGTAATTAGACAAGTACTTTGATACAAATTCGGTTGGAACATCATCCTGAAATTGAGGAGGGTTTCTTGTAATTAGTAATTGTAAGTTCACTCAAGGCGAACATCACGTTCGTAAGGGTTACATAGTTTTTCAAAGGGTTTTCACAAAACTTAATGAGTCTTGCATGTTTATATTTGATCTGAATATCACAGACGGATTGCACGTTAGATATACGTTTTCGCTTGAACATCACGAGGAAAATATGTATTAGGAAAACCTAACCTTCAATGCATGTATGTGGAAATTCTTAAGTAATTGGTAGAACTGCATATGATTGTTAACAGTGATGGGTAAAAACCCTAGTCTTTCCAATAATTATTTTAATTTTAAAAAAGTTTTTCTTCTTTGCTGCCATTATTTCCAAACTTTATATTTCTTTTTATTGTTAATTTAATCTTTTAAAATTAAAAAAAATCTCAAATCTTTGATAAAAATCTGTTTTGATAATCAATTAAGAGTTGTTAATTACACAAATTAATCAACCAATCTTTGTGGAGAACGACCTTGCATGTGTGATTATACTACAATTACTTTGAACTCTTGCAAGTATTTTTAGTAATTTTAACCCTAATTTTGCAGGTACTAAAAATCCTATCAACCTCCAATTTCAAAGATCATAAATTTGTAGGTGTTACGACCAAAAATATTTTCTTGGAGCATTTCGTCTGTCCCTGGTTTCAAGTTCCTGATACTCCATCCGTTTGGAAAGGTTCTTGGAAACAATGTTTTTTGGAGGGGTAAAGTAGCTTTTGATGTCGAGAAGGGCACAATTTTAATGGTCGATTTTTTGCTTAATGGTGGGCAACGTGGGGAGTCACTTTTTGCTTCCCAGTTTGATCAATGGATCAATTGGTTAAGAATCTGGAGATTAGAAGGAGATGGTGATAATAATCCATGGGGATGGACTATCATTGCCCATCCCTCGAAATGAGTGGATAACCGTAACTTACCACCAATTGTCTCTTTTTTTAAAACCCTTTTTAAAAGAAAAAAAAAAAGGGCTAATGGCCATTTGGACTAAACATCTTTACTTTATTTAATTAAGGTGCTAAGATATCTCCTGGCCAAAATCCCTATAAAAAAATAAATAAAAGAGAGAGTGCATTTGAACCTAGAAGAAATATTTGATGGGGATTTTACCACACGTAAACGGGTTAAAAACTCATATAATACTTGCAAGAATGACAAGGATATTGTAATATAAATGCTTCTCCCAAGGTCGTTCTCCACAAGGATTATCAACTAAATCGAAGCAAACCAAATTCCAATTACTTATTGTAAAGTAGAAATTTGAGGTGATTGATTTTTATGACCTAATTTAATAAAACGAATTTAACTAATAAAAGTAAACTAATCTGCAATATTAAAGATAGGGAAAAGGAAACAGTATTGGAGAAATCAAATTAAGAAAGCACTAAGGATCCGCCGTCACCATAACAATTCTATATAGTCAACTCAATTACTTATGACTTATACATGCATATTTTGAAGGTTAGGTTTTCCTAATATATGCCTACTTGGACCCCCAACATAGAGCGTATATCAAACATGCAATCCGTCTGTGGTATTCAGATCAAATCTAAACATGCATGACTCATTAAGTTCTGTGAAACTTTTTGAAAAACCATGCAACCCTTATGACGTGATGTTCATCCTAAGTGAACTTGCACATATTAATCACAAGATGCCTTTGTCAATTTCAGGGTTTGACCTCCGACCAAAATTGCATCAAATTACTTTTCTAAACATCCTAATAGTGATCAAGTATTAAGATAATTAGATAGTTTAAATCAATAATTAATAATTCGAAAACCTGCATACATATAAGCATAAGTAAATTGAAGAGAAACTACATATTATTGCCTCACCCTAGCAAAAAGAGAATTAGTTACGCATATTCATAATAAAAATCATAAAGTTCTTTATTGAAATAATAAAAGATTGAAAACACCTAGAATGAAAACAGTCTGAAAATCTCTACACTTGGCAATTTCATCTCTTCAAGAACGCACGGAAAAGAAGCAATTCCAAGAATAAAGCCGGCCAAGCTTATTTATCCTAGCAGAAATTCAATCTTCCTAATAAAAGGTCTTCCAATCGAACTAGGAAACTAAATAACTAAAATAAAATAGGAAACGTAACCCTAAATTAAATGATAAAATTAGCCTAAAATCTGAACAGCCATGTTTTGGACCCTTAAACTGCTCCAAAACTGGCCCAATACAGCTGGATTTAAGGTTTGAAATATTCTGAACATTTTTCCAGAAGGCCACGAACCTATCAGAGTTTATCTCGAACTCCCAAAAAGCAATTTAAGCCCAGAAATGTCATTTTCCAACACTCCACACTGCTTATTTATTCCGTCGCCAGAAAATAACCACTTGGTAGAAAAATCCCAAATTTTGATACGAACACGTCAAGAGACACACAAACGTCCTCCAATTTGACTCACTCCAAAATTCGTTGGTTTGTTCATGTTTTGCTCCGGAGAAAATCGGATGTCCTATATTAGAAATATAAATCAAAGTATCAAAATTCTACCAAAATAATTACCAAAACAAACTAAAAATAGGGTAAAATATATAATATGAAATTGACTCATCAATATTGTTGACAACATTCTTATTGCTCACGAGCTTTCTCGGATTTTAGCAGGAGAAAGGTAGCACCAGAGCTATGGCAATCAAGACTGAAGCCTGTTTGAACAAATTCGGCTTTTAAGAGTATTGGATTACGTTGTTTGTGTCGTCCGTCTTCTTTAATGAGTCTATGTAGGGTCATTTATCCACTCTAGAGGAATTGATTCGTACTATCGTCACCTACATTACCATGGCAATGAATCCGAAATCTAAACAACTTTTACTTGAAGCCGAGAATAAACGTGGTAGAAACCTCGTGCCGAAAATTTGGAGTTGGTGAAACAGCGCCACGCTTGTTAAACTTGCTAGAAACCTCCGCATTGGGAGTTGATAACGCCGAGAGGAGGGGCCCTAGAGATCTTATTTGACAGAAATGTGGATGGAAAGAACAAATATGCCATATTGCCAAAATGATTATACTGTTTAATAAGGCACCAAATATACGTCATTTGACCAGTTGTATGGCTCAAACCGTAAACTGAACCAACGGAGTGACCTAAATATGATTTCACTGAAACCATAATGTTTGGCGTTGGTGAAACAACGCCGATCGAATAATGTTTTCTGCACTTAGGTTAATTCTTGCTTAAATGTATGGTCAGTAGTATAACATCCTTCTAAGTTGGGGACAGAATTAGAGAATAGAGATCATAACAAAAATGCCAGTAAGGGGTCTGCCCAGACAATATCCTGAGACTCAAGAAATTGGCAACAAGAATAGATTACAGAGATGGCAACTTCCACTACCTCACACACACTGACTCACAGTGCATAATCCGATAGTTGAGCAAAACAAAACCCATCACTAATTAAAACCCACCAATGACGGTTCGCCACATTCACAAAATCAGTTCAACACTAGAAATAAATACGAATCCGATGCTGAAACAACGATCAAGAGCACAAAACGGAAATCATCATAAGATGGCAATCATGAACTTGACATACAAAAGTAGCAGAACAGCGGTTGGGAAATTGCCCAATGGATCGATCAGTGAGCAGGCATCAGAAGCAATCCCAGCAGGGCCACCTATAGGGGCCAATCCTGCTGGACGCACCCCGGGTAACACTGAAGGTGACTTGGGTATCCCACCAATAGAACCATCTGACTCGGGAGCAGGTGCGGGTGCAAACATTGTGTCACGGATTACTGAGGTAGGTGGGGCTATAAGTGGTGGAAATTTCTGTGGACCTGCATAGTGTTTTGAAATAGAGTTCTTGAGTAACAAATTAATCACAACCCGATTTCTGGCTCCATGAAGCCTTTTTCTTTTCAGTTAAAGAAATCGCAATGAAAAATGTGATCACCCTTCTATTTTCTGGTATGATCTTATTTCAATTGAAAGTAATATACAATCTGCTAATATGCTTTATAACACCAGTAACTGTTTGACAACCAACTATTTATAATAGAGTCCATAATTTGAAATAAGAGAACCAGTTTCACACAGACGCATTCATATTATATATGATATCCAAAAACCTAAAAGTGCAATAAATTTCTATAGTTTTGTTCCTTCTAATTTAGCCAAGCAGCACAACAGATATTAGCATCTATAATTTTACCTGGGCAACGGGGCTGAAGAGATTTAGATAACCTGCAGAGGAGGACAAAATCAGATTGACATTAAAACAGAAATCCTACATTTTGAAACAGCTATAATAAGAGTCAAAAGGTAGAAGCATAAAGGATAACCATACGTTGAGACGATGCTTCCATTCACAAAACCACCATAGTTACAAGAAGTGACATTGCAACCACCACCACTCTGCTGAACTGTAACGTTCCCGACCATGAGGTTACTGTTTCTACATTGCATGCTCGAACATGAAACTGCTAATGAAGCAGGCTGGCAGTACAAGCTGTAGAAAGTAACATGATTATGTGATTAATACTCAACCCGCAGGAGAAGTTGGAGAACATGTACATATAGAAGTAAACTCAATTACTTGAGACTCCCAGGCCCACAACTGCATTGTAAACAGTGGCTTGCTGTAATGGCATAGCTACCATTGGGCACAATCAAGCCATAGTCTTGAGCAGATTTAGGAAAGTTTGATGCACAAGCTGCACCCAAGACAAACAAAATTCAAACATTACCAACTGGCTATTAAATAAACAAAATTCAAACATTTCGGAATCTGCAAGTAATACACTATCAGCGCCCAAAGGAAGCAGAGGGGCATGTTTCACCACCTATCTGACTAACATTTTCAAAGGACCTCTTTTCCAAATCAATTTGGTGTTACTTTTGTTAAGATAATGCGGTGCTTAAGATTGGTTTGTTTTCTGAGCATACTGCTTACATAAAGAAGACAGAAATCGAGCAACAGAGTATTCTCGAGGAAAGGTTGAAGATTTTCTACGAGAATTGCCTTGATATTTATATGGTGAATTAAGGACTTTGTAGTCAATTGTTTAAGTGAAACTTTTACAGAATTACATTATATGATGGTTTCTTATTTATTTCACTTGCGTATATTTCTAGTGCACCAGTATCGTCTCAAGTTGCATCTGCAAGAGAACCAACCATTTGATTTACTTTAAAGACAAAAACTATATAACGGTAATGTCTTCACTATATAATGGTTTCTTAATCAATCTACTGAGACCTATAACACGAAAGTATTTTGAAATATTTTAAAGATGAAAACTATATCCAAATCTGCGCGAGAACCAACCATAAGAAGGGCCTCAAGGATTCACAGAAACATTATAGCTATGGCAGTCAGCTAACTCAAAAATATATGATGCGGTTATTGGTTTGAACTAATTAAAACACATTAAAATGCACAAACTTTATGAACTCCGATTCTCTACGGTGAAGAATGTTACAAAAAACAAATGCAGCAACTGAAACTGAAAACAAAACAGCACAGTTAGAAACACCATATCACTCACTAATTACTAATTAACAAAAGCATAATCAAATTAGCATACCAAAATTCAACATAGAAAAACACATTCCAATAATTAGCTTCCACTATCGAAACACTTGATAAGATAAGCAAAATTACAGATTACCTGGTAATGGCACTGCAAGTATATCAGCAGCCTTAATAGCTGTGTTCCCCATGGCATTCACATTCATCAAATCGGTCAGGGTAGTCGAGTACCGGGCGGCAATCCCCGCCAGTGTATCCTCCGGGTTCACCACATAAGACAAGTAGATAGCCGGCAGCGAATTATCAGTCCCATTGAAGCAAGTGCAGGGCAGAGGCACCACAAGGGTTTGCCCCACGTCGAGCACAGAAGGGTCCGAAATCGAATTGGCCTCCCGAATCTGGTCCGCCGAGACCAAGCCGGAGTACACCGAATCAGCAATGGAGGCCAGCGTGTCGGAAGGCCGGGTCTTGTAGTGGGTAGACACTGACTTTCGAATCCCGTCGACGCAGGAGCAGATGATTGGGACTTTGAGGAAGAGCTGGGAGGGGAGGATGTGGTTTTCGACGTCGGGGTACGAAATGTCGATGGCATTGGCGGTGAGGAGAGCGATTGGGTCGACCTGGAAGAGGGAGGCGACCTCTGAGACCTTGAGATCGGTGTAGACGGTGTAGCCGAGCAAGGCATTGCACGAGTCGGCGTTCGAGCAGGGCTCGATTGTCGACTTGGAGGTGACAAAAACAGCCACATTGGCTAGGACTAGCAGAAAAACGGAGAATTGGGTTTTGCAAAAGGGTTTTTGAATCGCCATTTTTGGAAACTGTTTCTCGAAATAGGGGAAAATGGAAAGAGGGTTTATCTGTGGTTTAACAATGCAGTAAAAAGGCTAGGTTTTTTGGGTTTGAAACTGGGAGAATTTCTGGGTTTTTAATGCTTTTTCTGCTTACCCAGCAGCTTCTATTCCTACCCAGCAGAAGAAACAGAAAGATGGGTTCTTTCTTTCAATGGCGGAAGCTGGAGAGCATAATGCTGGGTTTGGAGCTCAAAATTTTCAGGTTTCCAGATGAGTTTATGGATTCTGGCTTCTGGGTGGTTAGGGTTTTGATGATTTGATTCCTATGAATCTTTAGAGAGAGAAAAAGTGAGGAGAGAGAGGGGGGAGAAAGGGAAAGTAGTTTTGAAAGCTAGAGAGAGAGAGTGAGCAGAAAATTGTTTTTGCATTTTGCATAGAGTGAAGTGTGCAGTGTGCAGCGTGCAGACACCAGTCAGATGCTTGAGCTTGGGGACAACAACTTTTCCGTTTGGACCAATTTGTCCTCGTCAAACATACCATTTCTCGCACATGTTTCCGCGTTATCCGACGTCGTATCCTAGGATTGTGGTGTTCTGGTAATTTCATCTTTCCTTTTGAGATTTATGGGCATCCAAGTGTACCCCACAGTCATGTACTGTAGGGTTTTGCTTTCAGACGTGCGGGTGAGAATACCTGGTTGGGTTGGACCTGAATACTGTATATAATATCCCACGCGCATATTAGAGAGTGTCTCTCACGCTTTCGCTTCATTGGATGGAAGAGTCGTTCTCAATCCACGACTTGCGACTTGCGTGTTTATATATTGAATTCTAAGACCTGGGACTTGAAAGTTCAGCCCGTGGGTCGGATGCACAACCCATATCATATGGGTCGCCCAATCGGAATTATTAAAATTTTAATCTAATTAAATAACGTTCGAACATAGTCAGAACGTTGCCATCCATTGTTTGACGAGAAATGTTGAGTTCTTTTAGAGCAACTCCAACGTTGCAAACGCTTTCTAAGGCAACTAATTATTCAATTCACCCAGTGAACAATAACTCTTTTTAATGAACAGTAATTACCTTTTGGATCTCTATCCTTAAACTGAATAGTCATGGCAATAGATAATAAAATATTAGTTTTTTTTCCTCACCCAATCCATCAGACATCCCCATCACATTTTCCCTTTTTCCCCTCATTTGATCGGTTTCTCTCTCTCTCTCTCTCTCTCTCTCTCTCTCTCTCTCTCTCTCTCTCTCCTTCCTCTTCAAACCTTCAACAAATCAAGCTCAAAATAATATTTTTGGAATCCCTGGAACTCAAGGAACCCAACCATGACCTTGCATGCGGCATCGGTGCATGGTGCAAGGTCCTGCCATTGAAGCCGAGAGCTTGAGCTCTCAATCTCAAACCCAGGTGATGTTTCTATCATTATCTTGTGTTCTTGAGCTTTAAATCATGTTGTGTTGCAATTCTTGTGGTTTAATTCAAGGGCTTAATTCCCTGTATGCATCCCATTCTTTTTCCAGATTTCGACAAGGGAAAACGGATGAATTCAAGCCGGATCACCCTAACATCAGCCACACATCACACAGCCCTCAGGCTCTCGGGCCACCAATTCGAGCCGGGCCTCTCGCTCGGGCCCCCCTTAGCCCATACGCCCGCATGGGTTAGAGCTTGCAGCTGGGGCGATTGGGATGGGGAAGTCACCAGTCCATCGGGCTAATGGTCCAGGTGGAGTTTCTCTTAAAAGTGAGATTTTGCATGTACTTTTTTGCTTAATTTTTTATAATGTTGGCACATTAATTGTGCCAAAAGCATAAGGTAATGACAAGTCGAGAGTTCAATTTTGAGAGAGTCCTTCGCTTGTTTGATTCAATATTTCTTAATCCACGAAAGGTTGAAACTTTAATCCGTGAACTTTTAAAACAAGATCACCAGCTTTCTCGATTAGAATGAAATTATTAGATACACTACATGCATTACTGATTCTAATTTTTATTTTGAGGTTGAAAAAGGTATACTCCTCATTCGTTTTCTTAACAATCCAAATGCCCTTTCAGTTACTGATGCGAAAATTAACTTAACATACAAATTAACCCTCTTTTGACAATTGTAGCATCTAAGTAAGTAGGGATCGTTCTTAAACCGGGGATTAGGAGGGATTGCTAAACACTTAAAACTGACTCAAATAGATAAAATTAACCTTTAAAACACTTAACTCAACTTAAAAGACTCAAAACAAGTTCACAAGACTCAAAATAAGCTAAAAACACTCAAAACTGCCTAAAAAACACAAACTGGGCATATTTGACTCTAAACACCAAATTGGACGAAAATTAGTTCTAACTTGACTCAAAACACTCAAAAACACAATCTAAAACATATTTTAACTATTTGGACACTCTAAAACAAATGGGGATTTAGTTTTGGACGAAAATAAAACAAACAAAACAAGAAATTGAACTAGGCAGATTTGGACGAAATTGATTGAATTAAGAGGATGATGGGCTAGCTAAGAGGTTTTTCTCCACACATGGCATACTTGCATACATAACAATCTCCAGTTGCTTATTCAATGAATCATGAACCTCAACACCCCAAGTTAATTAGGTACGCTTAAATTAACTCTCAGATTTCCCTTAGGTCATTGAATTGAATGGAATTAGCGCATTGCAATCAAATTATTCCTCAAAAGTTCTCTATATGAAAGCGCATAATAGAAAAACAATCAAAGATCATTAGATTCTATGGAAATCATAAGTGTTGACGAGGCATTCGTAACTATGAAAGCGCATGATACTTATGCCAAGAATTTACTTAACATGATTGTGACCAACAATCTTAACTACTCATGAATATAAGTTCCTAACGATTAGGTGAAGTTTCCTTATACCCTAGCATCAGATTTATGCATGCAAATTAAGCGTGCACTCTCAATTCATATACATAAACAAGTTTTAATTCAAATAGATAAGTAAATTGAATTCACAATTCATGAAATCACAACTGAAAGTAATCAAATCATAATGCAAATATAGCCATGGTTTTGAAATTCCCCCTAGCCAAAAAGGGGATTAGTTCCTCATACTCACAAAGCAAAGATTCTTGAAATTAAATATTGAAAACACAAGAAAGATTACATCTAAACGTTTCAGCAATTCCAGGATGAACTTGATGCACGGCTAGGGCTTTCCTCCTTCTTCCTTGCTGCGGCACTTGGTGTGGGTGGTGGTTTTGGGGGTTGTGAATGGTTTGTTCTTGTTTAGAGGGATGAAGGATGGCTGATTATGGCGGTAGGGTGCGGCAGGTGGTGTATGGAGGTGTAGGGAGTGAATGAATGAAGGAAAATGGAGAATAGGGGTTGCGACAAGGTGTTTTCTGTATAGCATAAGGGGTGGTGCGAATTTGTGGCTGATTTTATGTTTATATAGTCCTAGGATTAACTAGATTAGGGTTACACTTAACAGATTTAGTGGATTAGGGCCCTAGGGTTCGGCAATAGGTGATCAAATCCACCTAGGAGGGGGTTTGGCCCACTTAGTTTCATACAAGGATTTGTGTAACCCAAATCCATAAGGAATGAGGCCCTAGAAATCAGAATCCAAAAGGGATAGGGCCTAGAAAGGTGCGGCACACATGGAAGAAAGGGTGGAATGGCTTGCAAGGCAAGGCAAGGCCTTCTAGAAGGGATTAGGCGCCACCTTTGTAGGGTTTCTAGAAAGAATGAGTTTTGTGGCTGATTTGGGGCTTCTAGAAGAGAATGCTTCTAGAAATAGGTTCTAGAAATATCTATTTAGGTCCCCTTGCACCTAGGATTAAGACATGATAAGGTTAGGATAGGATAAGATGAGATAAGGTTTTGGATAATGTTGGATAAGGTTTTAGATAAGGTTTTGGATAAGGTTTCCTCTTTTGAGCTACTTCCTTATCCACTTTGTCTTGAGCTTAGTTCCTTCCTCTTCTCATCATATTTCTAGCCTCTTGAACTCCAAATTCGTCCATCCATGTTGGCCCATATGCAAGCTATAGTGTCCAAAATTGCTCCAAAATGCACCAAAATGCACTTTCTTGGTACTTTAACCCTTAGGACCTACAAACACACGAAAATGAGTTGAAATACGACATTAACTAAGAAATAATAGCACAAATGCACAAGAATAAGCTAGCTAAGTCGCCTAAATATGCTCCTATCAGTTACATTCTTGGTAAGACAAAGATTATGGGCTTGTTTGTAAATAGTTTTAAAATGATTAAAAGCGTAACTAGATAAAATATTTTTCAATTTCAAAAAAATGTTTCTTGCAAAAAACACCAGTTATATGCTTCTTTTAAGAAGCACTAGTTATTTAGGATCATTGTACTCCCACCTTTGCTTTAACAATAGGCCACTAGCACTCAAATGAACTCTCCAATATGGAAATGTCTATTCATCCGTTTGGTTCACTAGTGCAGCGTTGGTGATGATGACTTCAATAGTTTCTTGGCTGCTACGGTTTGTTGTTTTTTGGGCTTTGCTTTTGTCTGAGCCTAATCTATGTTTTTGGGCCTTGTTTCGTTTCCCTGTATTTCCTCTGTTTGTTTGAATGAAATGTTCATTTGACCCAAAAAAAAAAAAAAAAAAAAAAAAAAAGGGCACAAATGAAGAGAGGAGTTTATGTCTCTGTCAACGCTAATAGAGTGGAACACTGCCCATTCAATAAAAGGCAGCACCTATTGTGCTTAGTATAAAAAATGGACACAAACAGTGCCATAGAACAAAAAATTATGTCCTATGGTCATCTGTCTATTCTTCTGTCCAAAAGGTGTTGTGCGACATTAAATAAGAAAATAGCACAATTTGCAAAGAAGTGGTCATTGAAAATTAATACATTGTAAACAAGGTTGCTCGTTACATAACTAGTTTTTCTATGGAAGTTTTCAAACACAATTGCTCGATACATTTTATTTCTTTTGCATTTGATTAAGTTCTGCATCATTGAGAATGGGGGATTGGCGACATCACGGAGTTAGGTTGAAACTAAATCTCAAATATCATATTCGTTGATTCCGTCAAATGTTACAACAACGAATTCCACAACGAACTGTCCAGTTTGACGTCTACGACAACCTATTAATGTCAAGTGCATACCTCATTTTGTTGATAATCAGTACATGCATAAACGAATGACATGTATTTGATTAAATGATGATATGTAACAACCCGTCCCTAATTTTATAGTTTTTATAATTTTGATAGTGTGAATTGATGAAAATGCCCCTTAAGGAGAGATTGTTGACTTTTGTTAATCGTCATTTCGTGACGTGTATGAACTATAATTTTACCTCGAAGTACTCGATAGTACATTCAGTACCAAGGGTATTTTGGTACTTTCATGTCGCGACATATATTTTTTTGTTTTGTCTGGCTTTGGACAATGTGCCAAGGAGAGCCCACACCACTCATCCC